TTTTTTTTTTTTTTTTTTTTTTTTTTTTTTTTTTTTTTTTTTTTTTTTTTTTTTTTTTTTTTTTTTTTTTTTTTTTTTTTTTTTTTTTTTTTTTTTTTTTTTTTTTTTTTTTTTTTTTTTTTTTTTTTTTTTCTTTTCCAGAGGTGATCATAGATTCTACAAACATAGCCATGGGAAACGAAACTGCAACACGCTATTGTCAGTGAATGTTCAGAGATATCCACAATTTTTTCGCTGAAGATGTCCACTAACCGCGTGATCCGAAAATTAGAGCAGACAAACAAGATCTGGTACAAGGATGTACTAACACAATAAGATAGTCTTAAACAGTGCTCATAACCGTCAGACTAGAAAAGAACTCTGTTTTATCCCCAGAATTATCACATACAATACAACAAATATAAGGTAACATGAGACCTTAACAAATTCTTACACATTACGAATGAAGCGTTAGAAATTAATATAACATGAGACCTTAACAAATTCAAAGAAATTGCTAATCATGCACCAAGTGCATATGAACCCAATTACACTGTCAAACTTTGAGAGAGTTATGAAACTTGTTCCGTGTGAAGTGGCCGGCAACTGTGCCACAGATTATATAGGGATACAGAAATATGGCAAACCACAAGCGAAAGAGAAACTAAAATTTCCCTTACGACGACGACTATGATGATAATGAAGTGGTACAACAGTCTTGTACAATTTTTTGAACTTCAAAATCTCATTCACATGATGACGCACAACACATGCACATGTTACGGCTTTAACAGATGCAGAAAAACAAAAGCAGTAAATATGTAAAATAGCTGTGGGACTGTAGTCTTCAAATTTTGATATGTTACAGCTTTAAACAAATGCAGAAAAACAAAAGTATATATGTAAAATAGCGGGAGATGCATATATCTAACCTCAAATATACATGCATGTTGCATGTAGAAGAGCGGCAGAGCCCGACAGATTTGTGAAAGGAAATAGGGTAATTACCAAAGAGGGTAAAAATTCCCATATTGGAAGTTAGAAAATCTTGCAAAGGCTTATAATAAGTTGAGTTACTCCCCTCATTGCCAACTGATTTTGGGATGGTATCAGAGCATGTTGCCCACGTATGAAAGCCCAATGGCCACACACGTTCTCCACGTCATCCAAAATGCGTTGTCCACGTGTTTTAGCCTTGAAAATTTGCCACACGTGCGGAGACATGTGAAAATGTGAAAGTAAAAAGTCTCACATAAAAAAGTTTTGTTTGATGCATAGACCAACAAAGGAACATCGTTGAGATGGATTTGGGTTGCTATTGGAAACCCTTTTATAGGGTAGCCCAGACCAACTCAGCCCATGGAATTTTGGCAAGAAAAATTTATTTATTTATTTAAAATTCGTATTTAGCTTCGAGGTGACATTTGTTTTTGGAAAATACTTCCCTCCATACCAGGTAAGTAGACTCTCCTACATTCCTGCCAATAGCAGTGTGATATGTGTGCATAAGTTTTACTTTTTGTGTTTTTAATGAATTATTTTTGTATATGTGTCATACTGTTATTCACAGGAAATAATAGTATCTCTTTACCGATAAGGAGACAAGTAGTGTCCTTTGTTTTTTTGGACAGATTCGAGCTGACTTTTGTTGGGTTGGTTCTTCACAAACCAACACCAAGAACTCACTGCAAAGAGAGAATATGGAGAGCAGTGTCACCAAGTCCCTTCTGCAATCTCTCTCACAATATTACCCTTTGGTGCAAGACATTGGTGAGAGAGGTTGCAGAGTT